AATTTTTAGCAACATTTTTTATAAAGTAACCTTCCAAAAAGTATCGAATGTTTTTCTGAAGTCAATAAATGAACGAAATACCTGTTCATTTTATAATACAATAGAAAGCTGTTTTCTGTTTGTAGAATATCCTTTTCTGAAGTCAGCTAGAACAATAGAAATTAAGTCAACTTCTGAGAATTTGTTAAATCTAGAGTCGTAAGTACAAGACAAGAGACTAGGGTTATAGCTCGATAATTATCAGGACTTTTAGGGTCACCTTTCTTTTTTATATATGGGTTTTTCTATTCCAGTTGTCCATGCTTCTGGGACACAACCAGACTTCAATATAACATAGAAAAGTTTTACATATGTAGGTAGTAGCACAGAATGTGTACTTTTTATATATTCGTTTAAATTCCGAAGATTAGCACCAGCTTGTCTAACTTCATCTTCAGTTACTTCACCATTAAGAATAAAAGCAAATATATTTTCATTCATATCAGGAATATTAAATTCATCGTTTTCATCATCGGAAGTTTTACATTAAATATTTATATAATTAATTCAAAGGAATATTGACATTACAATTATTGTTTGTCGATTTATCTAACTTATTTAAAATATCCCACAATTGTTTAGGATTAGATTCCGACGTGTTTCTTATTTGGTTTTCAATATTAACCCTGTAGGTATTATAACTCTTTCGTAAGATTTATTTTAGTCTCTAGAACTTTTATTCATAAGCTCTCGGTTATTTTCCGATTAATGATTTTTATATATTTGTTTTCCTTCGTAGAATCTTTTTCTACATCATTCAGCAGTAAACCATGCCTTATCATTAAACGCTTTAGGCGGCATGTGTCTTGACCTTGATCTTGACCTCGATTAATATTCACGTGCTCAGGATCGATCGAACCCTCTACTAGACATCGAAGAGTGAAAACTAACCTACAATGGACGTCGGATAGCGTTGGATCAAATTCAAGCACCTCAAAATCATTTACAGATGTAAACATCCCTGATGATATAATAAGATATCCAACTGTTAGATACTTTCCTAAAATAACGAAGTTGTTTTAGATTTTCGACTTCGAGTAACTGAATGAATTTAAACATCTTATGCTTATGAAATAATATGGCTTAATACATTTGTTGTGCATATCAGCATAATATCTACATTTAATGAAAAAATGATATTCGTCTTCAAATTGTTCAATTGCTAAATCTTGTACAAATAAACGGATCTTAGAATTAAGTCTTTGAAAATTCAAATTTACTGATTTATGGAGGTATGACTGGAGTTTAATACTTTCAACCAGATGTTGGTATACAAATCCTTTAGATGAAGAATTAACTTCCATAAGCCACTGATGAAAATGGTCAAATAACGTTATTTTAAAAACAATACCATCAATTTAACAGAATTTTTATTGGTATCTTCAAACATGTACCGAATGCTGGCATTTGAAAGGTCTCGTTTCAATTAAGGATCCAAGGGTCATTGTTTTCTACCATATAATCATAACTCGATTTGAGTGCACATTTATTAGAAAATTTTAGCTTTAGCCAATATTTGAAGAATTTGAAGGGAGAATCTTTCTAACTCAATGTATAAAAATGCAGTATTTGTTGATTTTCCTAGTCCTATTGATGACTTAAGAAATGCGATATGCAGTTTTTATCCATTTCTGGAGAATGTGATAACCCCAGATTTCAGAACCATACATTGAATACCATTTACATAAGTGCCAAACACAGCAAGACGAGATTCAACATTAAACACATTCTTTCTACAAATATTATTCACCGCGTATAATGCTTTTGGTCCTTGCAAATCCTACCTTCTCGCGGAATTCCTGTCCACTGATCTACCTCTTTCTACTGGTAAATGAAGATTGAATGAGAGAAATTTACATATGATATTTCTGTTTTTATGATGAAGTTACAAAAGATACTTTTTAATTCCAAACTTTGAAAATAGAGTACACATGACCAAAGCTACTATTTTCAATATCATCATACTATTTTTGTAAAAAAAAATGGTCTTGAAGTCACTGTTGTACTAAATGTTTTAAACAGATTTTATTCATCGCTGTAACATTCTGATCAAATATAATAATTGAAACCAGTATCACTTCGGGGAGTCAATGTTGAAGTGACAGGTTGCAAACCTATTAAACCATGGGATGCTCGAACTCGTTTCCAAGCAAGATTTTGTTATCATAGGGGCATCTCTGAAGCATTTGGGAAACAGAAAATTTTCTAAACTTTAAGATTTTAACTTGCATTATTAGCTTATTTAACCCCGTAACACAGAGCTAATGATAGCGTGCTTTCATAATACCATTGTCAATTAGCATCCTTTGTTGTAATATATGGAATTTTACCGCAGGGCGAAAATACTGTACAGTACAGGTTTGTTTCTGGAGCTTACTTGTGAATTTCTCTTGATAATGACAAGTCCATAGGCGTATAAGTCTTAACTTCACATAAACTTTAGCATGTACATCGCTGAATTTTTAATATGTAACACAAGCAATAATTATTTTTAATTTGTTTATAAATTTTGATAAATTTTACATATAATTTTACAATCCTGTTGTGTCTCATAAGCAAATTTTGGCTAGATATCGGTATCTGTGAATCTTTAACTTAGGATGGTTTTTTTTTTAAAGAAATGTAATATCGATATGTGACACGTTAGTAGAATAAATACTTTTGTATTGTATAGTGTTGTATTGTAAGGTTTTGTTCGAATCATGAGGTGTCAATGGCTGTATTGTCATATAGCTTTCGGTCCGTGAAAAAAACCTTCGATACATCAAAACGTTCGATTTATAAAACTTTTATTCATCAGGGGGTAAGTTAGTAGTAATACATAGGAATGCAATTCGGCACTAGAAAAAACACTTCGATACATCGAGAAATTCGAATAATTGAAGTTCGATTCAAAGAAGTTTTGCTGCAAATGTTTTTTTATATATATATATTGCAATATTTTGATGCATGTTTGCCATCATATTGTCAAACTAATCCTTGTTACTGAAACAATTTTTCATTTGGTAATGTGCGCTGTTTTAATACTTTTTCAGATGAAAAACCCTGCCATACTCCTATGGTTACAACAATAATGGTTGGTAGCTCAAGTCATAGGAACCTTCTGAACTTTTTAATGCTATTTCATCGGTGGTCACTCAAGCTGTTACAAATATCAAACACTTTTATTTAGTTTGATGCGTTGACGAAATCCATGTAATCAATATGTAATGACAATAAACAGAAACTTATGATTGTCCCGTGATACAATATGTATATAAGAGAGGATTAAAATTATGACAATAAACAGAATCTTTTGAACGTCCCGTGATACAAAATGTATAAAAGAGACGATTGAAGTTTTGTGTTGACGTAGTTGCGAAAACATAAATCAATAAACACTTGAATGATGAAACTTAATGAAAACCATACTTACAGATGAAGTCATTTCTCGTGTGTTTAATCTATAAACGATCAAGATTGCGTTGGTTTTCTCCGCCTTTGTACCTGTATAAAAAAACACACCTGATAAAATCACCAAACAACCCCTATTCCTAAATTAAAAGAATTTTTTTCAACACTGTCATAAAATCACCAAACAAACCCTATTCCGAAATTGAGAGATTTTTTTTCAATAGATTTGGCTCTTGCACCTTACTTTTAAATCATGCAACATACGTGTATGCAATGAGTAAGTCCATCACAGCCTCGCACTGCAATTAGTCAGAGTGTATGTAAAATGCTCGGTCAGACAAGTCTCCTTATATACCCGCCGTAAGCTGAATCAGCATTTCCCCGACTCCGATCAATTGTCAAGCTTATCGCTATTGTATTTTATCGTTTTAGTATAAGAGTTAAATACATAAGAATACAATGTACAATATAAAGCTATTATAACACATACAAGATATTCAGATATTATATGAAAATTGATTTTCATTGGACGAGACGAAAAGAAAGAAAAACAGGCTGGCGGACAGTTGATTACACATCAGAGTACAGGACAACTATTATTTAAATAGTGCCAGACAATATCATTTTACAGTAGGTAATTGGCAGAAGATGCATAACAATTAAAAACACATTAGGCTTGAAATGTTGAACGTAATAATAAACTTCATTGTAAATATTTGCTTAAATAGCAACATTTTTACGTAAATTTATATACAGAGGACAACTCAACATGAAATGGAACTCTTCTATTACTCATCTGGTTACAATTAAAGCAAATCATACGTTCCCTTGGAATATATCTATATCTAATTTCTTCTAAACGCATCCGATGAGAAGATATAGATATCATTATTTGGAACAGATTTTGATCACTAGTACTGTAAAAAAAATTTGCACAATTAACATCACTCGTTCTGTAATTGAAGAAAAACACCGACAATGCGCTGTTTGAAAAAAAAAGTCAAAATACTTTTTTCGTTGTCAACTCTATTATCTAACGAGACCAGTTGATAGCAGTAAGTTTCTGACACCGCCAGGTACATTTTCTGTGATTGAATTCAATTATAGCATCATACACTGAATTCATTATACAGTTATTAGTATTGTTGCATAAGTGCCCACTTACAATGGTTATGCAAAGTTAAAATTAGCAAGAAATATGTCGTCTGCCAATTCAGCTTGTTTTTCTTTACTTCATTATTTTTTCTTATACAAAAAATGAGGCTCTAAAAACCATCACTTGCACGCTTGCATTCTAATCACTCACACGCTTTACCGTTATCACACAACACCCTCCCCCTTATAAAAAGGTCACTTGTTGGTACGGAGTTCACAGGCTTTGCAACAGTACAGTTCTAGCTGTTCTGCATCACTTGAGGTCAAGCCTACACAATATCCATGGAACCACACAAAGCAAAAATCACATTGAATGATCATTATTCCATCATCGGGTTTCTGGCACACACATTGGGTTTCCAAATTTTGGACGTCGCGATTTTCCTGTTGGTCTTTAAATCCACTGAGGTAGATTACGGTCGGTGCATAATTTCAATCGCATGGTTCACAGCTTTCTCTGATCTACCAATATGCACTTCATACACATGCGGCGTGTAGCACTTCATGATGACTCCAGGACCTTTCCATACTGACTTCAATTTGGGATTTTGACGAGACGGCGTTGCAGTGTCAAATATGAAGACAACATCCCCAACTTTATACCGGGTTTCATGTTCGCGGACATCGTAATCCCTTTTCATTCGTTTCTGTGACGTTTTTAAGGTTCTCCTTGCCACATCATTTGCACTTTGAATGACATCGATGAGCTTTTCCACATATGTATCCACATCCTGTGCCTTTTCTCCTGGTGGATTGCGGTATAAGATATCTGCTGGCTGGTTGGTCTCACGCCCAAGCATTAACTGATTGGCTGTATATAATGTTTGTCGGTTGACCGAACACCTTAATACACCCGCTTTCTGTGGTAAGTGAATATACCACTCTTTTTGCGACTTTATAAAGCACCGGATAGCATTCATAATCGTGCGATTGAATCGCTCGACCTGTCCATTGGCAGAGGGTTTTATGGATCTGCATCACTTCACATAAAGCCTTGAACAACCGGCTCTCGAAATGCCGGCCTTAGTCAGTATGAATTTGGAATGGATATCCAAATCTTGCAAAACATTCATTGACGGCGGCCCTTGCTGTTGTCTCAGTTGTTTGTGTTGGTAACGGGACACACTCTGCCCATCCAGTAAACTGATCTACCATAACTAGAATATGTTCGTTTCCCATAGCTGTACATGGAAGTGGCCCCATAAAGTCCAGATGGACTCTCTCCATTGGCTCCCCTGACTGAAACAAGCTCATGGCGCAACGATCTTTCCGACTGGGTTTCTTGTTGGTATTACGGACCATGCATGACTTGACAAACTTCTGAACATCTCGGGGCAAGCAATACCAATGGAACCATTGGCGTACCATACTTTCGGTGCGATTTATGCACTGATGTGCACTAGCTGGGATATCATGACAATGAAAGATGGCATCGTCCCTCATGCTCTGAGGTACTATTAGATATTCCGACTCATCAGTGTCTTCAGGACTCCTCCTCAATAACACACCTTGTTCATCCAGATGATATAACTCTCTGTTTATCCAGTAGTATTTCGTTGCTCTATCAGACCCAAATACCTCTCATTTATCTGCTTCTTTTCCGCTTTTTAGCCATTCCCGAAGAAAAGATAACTCTGGATCCTTATCTTGTTCTACCTGTATCTCTTTAGCAGTATCTTTACAGTTGAATGTCTACAGCATTCACATCCGGTCCATCTTCAGATGTCAAGATTTTGAATCCATACGACGATACTTCTACAGTTGTTCACCTGACAAGTTGACCTTGCCCCAGCAGATAGTGGCGAAACTGTCTAGTGAATCGAACCACCGCTAAGAGTTCTTTACGCGTGGTACAGTACCTGCGTTGTTCTGGTGTCAAAGCGTAACTTGCATAGGCGTTCTTTCCTCGCCATCCTGTACATGGCACAATTCACTGCCAATTGCAAAATCTGATGCATCGGTGTCAAGTTTTGAACATGTCATGATGATTTAGTATGGTCAATGCAGGAGGTGAGCTCAGTGAGGGTTGTAACTTGTCAAATGCTATTTGATGTTTTTCATTCCACCTGAAGTCATTTTTTCCAGTCAACCCATGAAGGGGAGCAGCAATTTTGGCGTTCCCGGAAATGAATGAACGGTGGTAATTGGCAAAGCCAAGAAACTGCTCTACCTCTATATGTTGTAGGAGTTGGCCATTCTTTCATTCTCTCCACATGTTTGTCACTGGGTTCAATGCCATCTTCATTTAGAGTTCGTCCTAAGAACTTCACCTTTAAGCCTCGAAGAACAAGATTCATAACCGTGGCATAGGTCGCATGAGCGTTGCAAAGACCAAAGCCCATTTTGACGAACTGAAACAATCCATGTTTTGCGGTCTTTGGTTTGTCCTCCTTTTTGATTGGGACTTGCAAATAGGCCGAATTTGCATCGAGCTTGGAGAACCAGATGTTATCTGTAAGTGCATCAAGGCATTCTTCTGTCAAGGGTAGTGGAAAAACGTCCTTCGTTGTTACAGAATTGAGACCCCGATAGTCTATGCACTAGCGCACTCAACCATCGCGTTTACGTATCAATACTGGCGCTGATGCCCATTCTGACGTAGAGGAATCAATGACCCCAGCGGTTTTCTCAATTGAGATTCCTCCTCATTAGAAAAGCATTCTGAAGTTTCACGAAATCGTTGCTTCATTGGTTTTGCCATCCCTGTGTCAATATTTTGCTCAATGGCACTGAAATGATCCAAATCAAAGTCATTTTTCGCAAAAACATCCGAATAGTCGTGTGTGAGTGTCGGAAATTTGCTTAACTCGTCAGCAGATAGCTGTCCTTGGGCGTCATTAATCACACATTGCAGATTGAATTGGGCTTTATCTGTCCTGATCACAGAGCAAGGTGTCCACAAATATGGGATCAATGTGCTTTTTCTGGTCAAGAATTTCTGTTGCCTCACTAGTTGTAGCCAATTAAGTTTTCCTTTTCAGAATTATATTTCTGTCTGTGACATTGACACAATACAACTTTATATGAGAATTCGTGTGGTGAACTGATCTAGGAATAAATATTCCAAATTCTGCTGTAGATTCCACAATCACATCAGAACAATCAATGTTTCCTGCTACATTATTGGGTGGTACCCCAGTCCGTTTCCGCACATACACCTTACATCTGGAGCAATTGGAATTCCTTTCCTGTTTTCTCACAGATAGATGTTCTCCAATCAAACGCATATCAAGAATATTTCTGGGAGATATTAAGTTGTCCGTTATTGTCCTTTAAAAAGTCTAGACCCAACAAGATGTCATCCTCTATTGGTCCAACGTAAATGTTACGATGGTAACTCATAGTTCCTATATCCAATTCTATGGATCCAATTATAAAGCTTTCTATTGGTTGGTTCCTTCCTGAAGCATTAAGTGTCACACGTTTTAATATATGTAGTGGCTCAAAAAGGTTCCTGTAGACCTCATACGAAAGTATTGAAATTTCTGCACCAGTGTCCACTACTGCTCTAGTTTCATAACCTCTTGAAACATGGATGTTGATCGTAATCGGTTAAGTTTATTGTTTTCAGTTTCTGAGGATTCGGATGTCTTAACACTACGTGTGTCTCCATCCTCCTTAAAACTTATTTTGTTCATGCCTCCATCCTCATCAGAACCTCCATGATATTATCCTCTTCAGACACTACCTGCTTATTCGTCACCTTTTCCTGGTTGTCCGACCCATTCGGGTTTAACTGAATCAGCTCTTTTCTTGTTCCTCCTCCTCATCCTCTGTCACGATAAAACCACTATCAACAGTCTGTATTGATTTTTTATCCTCCGATTTAGGACAATTTGGCTTTATGTGTCCCTTTTCTCCACAGAGATAGCAAATTATATCCTTCTCAGCCGAAACTAACTCTTATATCTTTTGGAGAAATTGTTGCATACTAGTCACTTTGTCCTCCAGGGATGACTGGTTACCCACATCTGATGTCCATGTTGACGATTTAAATGTGGGTTTCCTCGGAAAGGCCCTGCTTACAGTTATATCCTCGTCTATTTTATTGACTACCTCCTCAGTGGTGTGTAATTTTAGGTTGGAGACGTGCTGACCTGCTTCCTTGTCCAGAGCCCCTTGTCAGATTGTTAAAATTGCCTGTCTGTACATTAATTCATCTGGGAGGTCATGATATACTCTAGTAGACAAGGACAATACTCTAGCAGCCCAATCAGCAAGTTTTTTCTCCTGGATATTGGTGTGTATTACGGAGACGTGCTTGGGTGGTCTCGGCGAGTAATTTAAACCAAAGCGACGTTCCATCCTAGAGATAATGTGAAATTCATTATTTGGGTCACACTCGAGAAGCATAAAGTATTCGCTGACCTTACCCTCTAGTATCCAAAGAGGTTATCCCTACGTTCGCGAGCAGTGAGGCTTTCTGATTCAACAAACTTTTTGAACTTAGTATAGAATGCCTTCCAGTCCGAACTACCATCATATCGTAATGTTTTAGGGATAATGACACGTCCCCGTCTCTGTGGTTGATTTTTATGTCGACCATAGAACTCTTGCTGCTCCTCTCTAGGGTCGCGCTGACGCAGACCTCGATATCCATAGTTGTCGCCTCGTTGCTGCAGATATCCATTACCACGTTGTTGATATCCATAATTGTCACTGCGTTGTTGATATCCATAGCTGGTGGGGAAAGAGGGCGGGGCGATGATTTTTGCGGGAATTCTGATCCATAGTCAGGATTCCTTTGAGAAGTATTAGATCCATCTTGGCCATATTGTTGCATTTGTGGCATAGCACGTTTGTCATATCTCTCATAAGGAGGTGAAAAGTCATTACACTTTAACATGGCATCCGTTGGTTTGAGATATGGTATTGCTAAAAATATGAAATCTCCCCAATACATCGCGTACTTGTAGAATTTTATCAGTCAGTCTTCCTCCAATACCAGGTATCTCCAGTAATTCTGGCCTATCGCAGAATCATTATGACAGGGGGAAAGGCGACAACAGGTCACCAACCGCACAACCACAATTTATTGTTTGAGTCTTTTCCAACTTCTTTCCTCAATTTTCCTCAAAATTCTCGTCATCAGACGACTGTGATGATTTTTTTTCCACAATACGAATATCACTTGCTGGCTTCTCAAGTTTGGAAATATCTGATCGGATTCCACTTGTAACCACTGTTGCTTTATTTCTGATTTCACGTGCAAGCCGTCAGCAGAACAACTACCACGCCGAAATGAAAATATATTGAAGGAGAGGGGATTGGCGTCAACAGAAAACCTACCACCAACTTTACATTGACAAGACCACGCCTGCAAAGCACGATGAATCCTCTACCCGGGATCTGCACCGCCTTCTAACACCAAAATTACTGAAAGTCAACGTAGAAATTCAGCAAAATGACTTCCGCGAACATTCCGGATTGCTCGTGACGCCACTATTGCATAAGTGCCCGCGTACAATGGTTATGCAAAGGTAAACGTAAGAAGAAATATGTCGTCTGCCAATTCAGCTTGTTTTTAATCGTCTTTTCTTTTTCTTGTACAAAAATTGAGGCCCTCAAAAAATCATTTGCACGCTTGCATTCTAATCACTCACACGCTTTACCGTTATCACACAACAGTATTGACTAATTTCAACCAGTATTTGATTATTCGGCATTTTCGAGTAATATGCAGACGTACGACCTAGTTCAGAATATAGCATTAAAGAATGTGTACTATTTTTAACTTTTAAGACTTTTCCCCAAGAAATCAGTAACTATGTTCTTTTTCTATCTGATCAACTGGGATAAAACCCCAGACTTTACAGCTATAATTAAGAATGGATGAAAAATAAACATCAAAAACATTCAATTAAGGTTCAACATTTAAAGCTAGATTATTACACACTTTTAGAACTGAATAAACCAGTCG